ACCGCTGTACCGTCTTTTGAGTCGTGCAAATTACTACTCCATGCTACCATACATGTAAGTTATGCTACTTTTATGGTATCATTGAAAGATAGCTTCTTATCTTGCTACTTGTATCGTGCTGTTGTTTCATGTTTTATACATTCTTCCATGCGATCTTCATAAACTACGGGAATCTCCCTTTTCTAACAGGTTTGAGACAGGTAGACGAGGAAAAGGCTGCTGTTCGAGAGAGGGAAGAGAAGGGATGGAGTCGGTGGAGATCTCGCTGTTACTACTACCACTGTTACGATTGAGCTCAATGGATTCAAAAAGAGCAGAAAGTGCATCCGCATTCATACCTTTCACACTACCTTTCGACTGTTGTGGTAATATCAGCATCGCATATCCTTTCGGCATAGGCAATGGCTGCCACTGTCCGGGCTTCAATCTTTCCTGCATACACCGCACCACCACATCTCCTAGGCTCTTCTTCGGTGATGGCAAGATCGAGGTTATGAAAATTTGATTTGGATACTGGGATGGTACATGTCAAATTACCCATTATCATCATGGGTGTGGATGTGAAGTCCATCAGCACTTCAGTGATTGATCTCGGCGACTGGCCTTACAGTTTTAACTCGGTGGGACAGAAAAGAGATTGTATGTGTCCGGTTGCAACGCGATCGTCGATCTAATGAATTCCATTACCGGTATGACTATCGATACTTACGACTATATGCTCTACCAGTGGCAACCGGCACTGCAGATTTCAGCTCTCTAGTTGGAACCACACTTCTCTAGGGATTCGCTTAACTCGACTCAACCAGACCAATCTTGATTTGGTTAATGCCACAAACATCAAGGCCATTTATTATGATGCAAACAATGTTACTGAACTGGATCTCCAACGAACAGTGAAGGGGGGGGGGGGGGCGGGGGAGCACCGAAGTGGAGGGAACCTTAGCATGGTGCATCGAAGACCATCCTACATGTGAAGATGCTCGTAAGAATCCAAAGACTTACGCTTGCCTCAGTCGCAACAGTGATTGCTACAACATTCTTAATTATACCTACACGAATTCTAGCGTTGGATACCGCTGTGGATGTTCTCTTAGTTATCAGGGCAATCCCTATCTACCCAATGGTTGCCAAGGTGATGTTCCTCCTTCTCTCTCTTTATGTGCGTTCAATTTAGTAAGCGAAGCAAGGATACGTAGTGACTGATACAAGTTAGGGACATGCTAATCTTCCTTTTTTGTAGCTTCTCTGTTATAATTTATTACTTATAATTTTTAGCATTCAAAGAGTCAAAAGAGATGATGACTTGTGTAGACATCTATGCCTAATATTGCAAAAGGTCTTTGATCGTACTTTCTGAAAAAACAAAAAACACATGGCGACACTCTTACAATTGCATGCTTCCAACAATTCTTGATGTATGCTACGAGTTTAAAGATATAAATCATACAGCTTGCTTTGGCCATCCGAATAAGTATGCTTATGGCGACTCTGGCCATATATTGACAGATCCATCTTTTGCACGGTATCCGACAAATGACTGCGCGACAAAGTGTGGGAGTGTGGACATCTTATTTCCAGTTGGTCTGAAAGAGGGCTGTAAGAGAGACCGATCATTTGCTCTAACGTGCAACCAGACGTCCAATCCTCCCGCTTTCGTCTTCCAATACGGCTACATAGTGAGTAAAATATCATTGGAGAAAGAGCAATTGAAAATTGGGGCAATTTTCATTTGCAAAGTAATGTAATGTAATGTAATGTAATGTAATGTAATGTAAATTAGCAAAGAATACCGTTCATTTGCAAAAATAAATTGTCAATGTTAATAATGGAAGATTCAATTGTCAATGAGCACCTCAGAAAATTAAGTTATATAGAATATGTGAATATGTGACCGAAGGCATGTTTGTTATCAATTTTCCTTTAACATAATGTATATAGTTACCACAATTTTGATAAGCATATTTAAAAGATTGGTCTCCAAAGATAACGTGAGATCTTTGGAGCTGACAGGCCTACTATTAAAGAAGTTGAGTATAAATTACAAGATTTGTGGAGGATTATAATGAAAAAAAAGGAATAAACTGTACTGCAAAAAGTAAAAAATAAATTGACTGTCTTCTTAGTGATACATTTTATGCTTTCTCTAAATCGATTGCCGGAAGAGCTCAGGACACAACGAGAAATTATAGCTTAGAGTAGGAATTTATGTGGTCACAGTATTATCCACGATGAGTATATTTCCGTTTAGTACTCATTTTTGTATTGGCTACTTGCTCGCAACCTCTTATGGCTTCAACAATTCAACATGTTTAGATGTAAGTTTCATTTATCTCATTATATATATATATAAACAACTAGAAGTTTCGCTATGTTGCCATGGGAAAAATCAGCCTCAATCATGTGATTCAATCTACGAAGAAAAATAAAGTAATAGGGCCCAGCAGTAATATCATTATCTCGGTATGTGTATATAAACGGTTAACGTTAATCCAAAATTAATATGCTACATCACATGTCAATAATGTTGAATATGGACGATGAAATCAATTATCATTTATTATCTAATCTATATGTTGAGATAAGTGTACATGATTAACTACGATGAAAGTAAGATATGTAACAGGAGTTGTGCTGGAGTCAAGACTATGATCACATTGAGAGTTCGAGAGTTCGATGGAAGTTCGAATGGTCATCGAAGGTTTTGCAGGAACAAATCCGAGAAATCCAGGAGCCTGCCAAAGAAGCTCGTCGGAACTCGCCAAGTGGATCGTTACAAGTCCAGGAGTTTGCCGGAAGTCCGTAGGAGTATTGTTGAAGGTTCGTCGAATGTTCACCGAAAGAAGCGATTGATGCACCGGAGCAAGTTGCAGTAAATGTCTTAAGAAATATCGTAGTTAGCACGATGATTAAGTTAGAAATGGGAGGTGATCCCATTAACTTAATCTTGGGGTAATTGGGCCCTTGATAGACCTAGATTTGGTCGAATGGATCAGCCCATTCGGACCTAGATTTCCTGGCTGATAGTGGCACCACACAGGAGCTCAGTCTCCCAGGAAAGCTGGGCGGTGGAACCGCCTGAGCTCGATCTCCGAGCTCTAGCAGGTAGTGAAACTACCCTTGTCAGGAGGTGGCACCGCCTAGGAACTCGATCTCCGAGCCTTGCCAGGCGGTGGAACCGCCCCTGTCAAGAGGTGGCACCGCCTGGCAAAGCTCGGAGACGTCTCCGAGCTCTGCCAGGCGGTGCAACTACCCCTGTCATGAGGTGGCATCGCCTAGAGGCTCAGTCTTCGAGCTCTGCCAAGCGGTGCAACCACCCAGTCAGGCGGTGGAACCACTAGACCCCGGAATTCCGAGAAATGACATTTTTGAGCTCGGAATTCAAACTGGATTGGGGCCTATAAATACCCCACCCTTTAGCAATGAAAGGGTATCGAAAAACACTAAAACTCCAATCTTATTCTATGATTTTTAGAGCTCAAAATTGTTGTATAAGTTAGAAGTTCACCTCCTTCTTTTCTTTCAAGTCATAATCATTCAAGAGAGGAGTGAAATTTCTGTAAGGGTTGTCTCCTAAGCCCGTCAAAAGGAGTGAAACTGCAAAAGGGTGGTTGGCCCTCGCTTATTGAAGGAAGATATCTAGTGGACGTTGGTAACCTCATCGGAGGAGGAAGCCAAAAGTGGATTAAGTCAAGATTGACCAAACCACTTTAAATCTCGATTTGCATTTACATTCTCTATCTTAACTGCAAACTGCTTTCATCGATTTACTTTAACGTTACTTTGCTTGATTTTAAGTTAAAGTATTTTCTGAATCGACGTTTATATGAAAATCGATTTTATCTTACGAACATTATATTTCGGTTTCCTCTTACATTCTGATTTCTATCATAACTGCAAACTGTCAGATTTACTTTAACGTCATCTCGTTTGATTTTAAGTGAAAGTAATCTTAGAATCGAACATAGTTTTAAGCGTCGAAAATTTTTCGTTACACTAATTCACCTCCCCCCTCTCTTAGTACTCTTGATCCTAACAAATAATAATTTCCATAACTAATACAATATTCCAGTATCCCATTAGTAATTATAATTTTTCAAAGAGTAAATGGTGAAAGATGGGTTTACGATCCAAGCACTTTATTGTGTTTCGGACTTCCAATAGTAGGAAAGGCTACGTCTTGGTGGGATATGGGCCAAAGATTGATCTATGTCCACGAGATACGTAGATGAATTATGATGGATTACTAGTTAGCTATCACATGCTTATGGCTTTACTAGCACTTAGCAATCTCGTATTCTCTTATTTACCTGTTTCAAGTGATTTATTTAACTATATATATATATATATATATATATCACCAGTTCGAGTCTCCCGACTTCTTGTCTTCTCCACCATGGCTGCTGCCGGTGATTCCCTTTCTCAGCCCTCGCCTCTCACGCCGAGTCCCCCGCTGCCACTGGTCCCAAACCCTTCTCCACCCTCAAAGACGCGATCCGCCCCGAATCCGAACCTGACCGTTTCGCGGAACTCTTCCAGTCCTCCGTCCACCTTCCCTGCTTCCACTCCCAGCGTCGCGCCCCCTCTTCGTCCTCACCGTCCGGAAGCTCGCCCGTGCCCGCCGCCCCGACCTCGTCGACCGCCTCCTATCCGACCCCAAGTACCCCGAGTCCGAGGGCTTCATCATTCGTCTCATCTCCCTTTACTCTGCCGCTGGCATGCCTGACCACGCCGCCGCCGCCGCCCCTTCAACCGCATACCAGACCTCCTTGGCAGGCCCCGCTCCGATAAATCCCTCTCCGCTTTCCTTTCCGACTACTTCCACAATCGCCTATTTGATCTCATCATCGAGACCTTTGACCGTGCACCGAGGGAACTCTGTATTGCTCCCGGCATCGTCTCTTATAATATTCTGCTTCGATCTGTGTGTGAAAAAGGTGATTTTGAAACCGCCCGCAATGTGCTCGACGAAATGAGCAATAAAAGAGTTCAGCCGGATTTCGTTTCTTACAAGACTCTCTTGGATGGGTACTTGAACGAAGGGGATGTCGATTTGTTTAAAGAGATTCTGAAGGAAGCCTTGAACAAGGAATTGAAACCTAATGTTGTTGCCTACAATTGTAGGATTTCCAAGTAGTATCAAAATTCAGATAACTTTAAAGCCGAGGAATTGCTCAATGCGATAGCACCAATTTACCATATTGATCTCAAAATCACGAAGATGAAGGAACCTCTATTCCAAGAAAAATTGTAACGGACCAACTTCTATAATAGAAAGTTTTAATGGTGGATGCTAACTTTGCCAATTTAAGGAAGCCTAGCATCGATATATATTCACACACAATGGGACAGCTCTGACAAGACCGAACTTTGATTTTGGAATCATCGATTTTGATTTCTTGAAATTAGGAATCGAAACCATCGGTTTTGATATTATTCATCGAACACCTTCCAGCCTCAAGGACAAGTGCGTTTCACAAATGAAGATATTATTCATCAAACACCTTC